TCTCCCCCCCGCCCCGGGTGGATCATGTAGAATACAACAGTGCCTTGGCTTTGAAGAAATCTTCTCCATGAGGACCAGAAAGATGTGTACTGATTTTGACTGGAGGGATGCAGCATGACCTGCTTAGGGAACCCATGGTTGATCTGAAATGCCACGCAGTTTCCAGCATCTGGATGCACACTAAAAATGGGCTGATGCTGGTTTGCCAGGTAAGAAAGGGAGAGCTGCTGTTTCAAAGATGTTGACCTCAGTGAGGTACAGCACAAACCTGGCAAACTTTGCAAGGATTTTTTTTGACCAGAGGTTTAATGTGATACCCTTCAAAAGGGAACAACAAAACCCTGGAAAGTCTGTTTATATAAATCGTGCCAAGATGAGTGAAAGCTTTTGGGAAGGTGGGCTGCCAGATGAAGCACTCGGGATACAAAAAAAACCAGCTCAGGTTGAACTTGTAAATTTTGACTCCAAACGAAATGATTACAACAGAATGTAGAATCTGGTTATGTTTGTTTGTTTGTTTGTTTTCCTCTTGAAAAATCTCAACCAGTTTTAAGCAAAAAGTCCTTCTATTAAAACAAACAAAAAAATTCAAAATCAGGGTTGGCTCTTACCCTGGGGGACAGTGGGTCCATTCCCAATGGGAATTTTGGGTTTTACCTCTCCCCACACTGCCGAGGTAGCCATGGCCCACGCCAGCCCAGCCCCCTAGAATCCCCTGCACCCCCCATGCAGAAGCCACAGCAAGGACAGGTACCCCCACGGTTGCAGAGAGGGGACTGACTGCTCAGGCTGGCTGCAAAAACCTGTGTTGGAGAATGTTAGAAGTTCCCCCAAACCCATCTCTCCTGCCATTTCATTCACAAAGTGACTGGTGAGAATTTGTTGCTGATGTCTGTGCATGTCCCCCCGCTCTCTGCCTTAAGACAATAATGGTGCATAAAGTACATGTGTGTGTTGAAAAATATATATATATATAAAAAAAAAAGCTGCAAGGTCTTTCATCCAGCTTTTTTCCAGTTCTTGCCTTGTTAGCATCAACCTGATAATGAATAAATACTGTCCTTATTGTGCATGGAATTACTCCTCTAACCCTACTACAAATTTTTTTTGCTGAGATTCTCCACTAGCTTTTCCAGAATGATTTCTAAAACGTGTACTTGAAAAATGTTGACCTTTCAAAAATCCTCATTATCATGAGCACAAAACATCAAAAACTTTTCTATTTTTATAAAATGACATGTAAAATTAAATGAGGTCTGACATCCTCTTCCTCCACCCCTAATCTGCCCTCTCCCTCCTACAATTTTCAGGTTGCATACCCTGCTCTGGAAAATTGTGGGTCCTGCACTCTCATCTCGTGATGAGCAACATGAAATTTGAGCCATTGGAGATGGGATTGTACTCCTTGAACTTCTCAGATGGGCTACCAAAGAAACGAGGACTCAGAATTTCACCCTTTGAAATCACATTTGGAAAATCAGAGCTGAGGTCACAGTTCTTCTATGGAGACGTTGCTACTCAGTGTCTGGGAGCCGGCTCTATTTTTGGAAAAGGCCAATGGAAATAGGGAGATCACATTTCCTGGGGGTTTTACCTGGTCGTCCAAAGCTTCTGAATCAATACAGAGGTTCTAGCCCCACGTGTGACTGAGCAGTTACCCGTGTATTTCCACTGGGTGAAAGCTTCAGCAGAGATGCAACACCTGGATCAATAACTCAAGTGACTGATTAGCAATATGCCAGTAGCAAGACCTTGCAACAAAAGTGATAAGTGACAAATTTGAGGAGTTTTACAGTACTAATGCTTGTTATTGCTTCTCACAAAATGTTACCAAGCTTACAATAATCTTTACACTTTCAGCAAAAATGTGAACAGTATATTTGAATATATTAAAAAGAATTAAAAAAACATTTCACAAAAAACATTTGTTGCCATATGAAAGTCTTTCAGCAATAAATGCCCACACCAGTATTTAAACATTGTTAAAAGTATAATGATTTGTACTAATAAATTATGCAACAAGAGAGGTAAACAAAATAAAATTACAGTATAGCTCTCCATGTTCCTCCAGTGAGTGCCGCAGCTCTTGGAAGCTCCATTCTAGATGACTAATTAAGAAACCGATATTTTCAGAGCAACAAAAATAAAAGCTTTTATTTGTTCATTTGAATATAAAACAGGCGTTATCACAGATGTACAAAGCGTACTGGTGGTTTAACATACAAGAAGGTTGCTGTCCTTTGCACATAAAAATTTTTGTTTGAAACTGTGATTGGTTGAGTTACATGAATTTCTCTAACCAGTCACCACACTCTATGAAATAACGCTGCTAACATTCAACTGATAAAAGGGACAGTCTTCCCTTGGGTAAAGTGTCAAGCAGGATTAAATATATATAATAAACAAGCACCATGAGGAATCTGCTCCTGTTTGATTAGTTTTGTGTTTAAATGTTCATTGTGTACCCTCTTTTTTTGTGCATGTGCATCAAGTTGATTACATGGTTTTGTCTGACTCCAAAAGCACAAGGTCACAAGACAAACATTTTATACATTCTCATGAATGGTTTATCTACAGTACAATTTCTAATACAGAACAATCCTTCTTTATTGCTCAGTCTGATGGTGCTTAAATGTTTCCTTCCTTTTGCTTGCACAACAAAACCAGAAACTTGGTTTATCATTTCTCTTAACTCAGGATTTAACAACCACGGATGACAGGTTGCAGAAGAGAGCTGTTATTAACTGCGTTTCACAACTGCATTGCAGTTCTTTTATTCTCTACAAATGCAAAGTTGACTTCGTGAAGGTTAAAGTGATGCTTTGAACGACAGCGAGATTGGTTTTGCAGTACTGAGATCAGCGATAGCAGGACTTCACAAGTTAGTTCACACACTGCAATTATGTTTGTAATCAATCAACATCTTGTCTGAAACCTTACAACAACTTGCCATTAAGAACAGATTTTATTCTTTTTAGGGAGCAGAAAATGAATTTGACAAAATATAGGATTGGTCTGCAGAGCATGAGTAGGGCTATTCACAGGACAGTGAGGGCAGAAAGGATGGTCTGAAAGAAAATGCGTCTGACGTGGCGAGATGCTCTGTACTGTACATGCAGACTAAAACGTCCCTACCTTTTAAAAAGATTTTAAACACCCAGCATTGAGACTCCCTTGTACGTGATATAAACATGATTACATTTGCCCTGCAACAATCTTAGTCATGCATATCCGGTAATGAGAACCAGCACACGAACGTTGTTTGGGACAATAAGAAAAGCATTCTTGGACTGCAGCTGGTAAATCCCACTCTTCATCACAAACAGGTCAGTTCAGTTACAACCACATGAAGGAAGGGAAAGGTTTTAAAAAAGGGGGCACGGGGTGCAGGGAAGACAACAGAACTGGGGAATCAAACCTCTCTTTTATCCAAAGGTAGTAAAATGAAGGCAGCTGTGATGCATGTTTTCCTACTTGCCTCCCGCGATGGCCTCAGATCGGAGACCGCGGGACTCCTCCGTTCTTTAAACAGGCAGATCGGTTCCTTGGATGTTTTAACGTGTTTAGGGACTAGTTAGCAGATGCACGATTAGTGCCAAATCGGTTGTAGTGACTGCACGCTCCTCTCTGTTAAGGAATAAATAAAAACCATCGAAACAATCCTTTCCTGTAAGTGTAAACTGGATGCATTGGCCACCGAGCTATGTGTCTCAGCTGAGAGGCAAACTGATAACTCTGTGCAAATAACCCCCAAAATTTTTCCTTATAGCAATAAAAACACCAACTAAAACAATGAAAAAAATTGTGCAACAAAGTTCTGCAGCTAGACAACAGTGCTATTCCTCAACCTGCCTTTTCTAAGTCTAACAAGTGTATGCACATGCCAGCACGAATATTTATTGTTGCCTCCATGGCAAAGAAAAGAAAATTATTGTAGTGCATTTTTAGTCTTAAATTCATTCACTGCCTTAAAGGCAGCAATAATTCCACTTGCTGGTATCTAGAGGATTCTTTTTGACAGGGATACTTAGCAATCCAGGATTGCTTCTTTTTTTTTTCAAAAAACTGGTGAGTAACATTTGATTATCTACAGTGGGAGACACCATGCAAGTGACAAGTACTGCATTTTAAACTTTAAAATCTTTTGTCATTAGTGAATTTATATTTCATATATATATATTTGATGTGATACTATCCACTCAAGATAATACAACACTTTGTTTTTTATATTAGCAAACATTTCAAGAATTTAATATTCTTGAATGTTTTTTCTCTTTTATACTTCTAAAGAGATCAAAATAAATTAAACGTTTTGTACATAATTACAGAAGAAGTAGTTAACTTATTTTATCTTTTTAGTTTAGTACAAAGATATTTGCAAGTTCATTGCCGAAATACACCTTATTTATAAATTTCTTCCATTCTAACGCTAACAGCAAAGGCTATTTGGCCTTTGGGCTTTCAGCATCTCCGACAGAAAGCTGCAAGATTTCTAATTGAAAGGTGCTACTTTGGGTATTCTCCTCGTACCACTAGAGAGTTCCTAAGGTGTGGGATTTAAAATGGCTTAAGTTAGTAATGGATTGGTATTCATCAGCTTTTTATGATGTATTAAAACAAATGAAGAAAACAATTATTTGTATTAGTATGCAAATTGTTTTAAAAGAATCCATTTGGAGGACAGAATAAAAAAACCCATAAAACCTACTTCAGCTTACTTAATGTAAAATACAAAGCCACATTTACTCAAAAAAGCAGTATTGTCCAATAAGCAAAAAAAAAAAAAAGTTTAAAATGGGCTTTTCCAACACACTGAAGGGCCTTACCCCATAGTCCTTCTTTTCTAAAATTTAGTGGTAAAAGAAAACATTTCACATTTTATTTCCTGCCAATCGTGACTGCTTTGAAAAGTCGTAATATAAACAGTTCCATTCTGATGAGTGTCAGCATATCTGCACACTTTTTTAGTGGACACCAAAAAATTTTATACATCTATAGTAAAGTCCATGGAAGCTTTAAGGTACAAGACTACATGTTGTAGGCCACATAGATGGGATCTAGCTGGTCTGCCAAAAATCCATCTCGTAGGTGCATACGTTGTTTCTCTCCACGGGAGTTGATAGGAATTACACCAATGTCCACAACCACCACCACCCCTACAATCAGATAATGTTCCTCCAGGACCACATTGGTGACCAAAGGAACCAGGTCCAAAGCTTCTTGCTCCGATCCATCCAGCTCAACTACAACGACCAATAAATTTGTCCAGGTAAACACCGCACTGGAACAAAATAAAAAACAGTGTTAGTGGTGAGGATTTTTTTACTCATAGAATCATAGAACAGAATCATAGGATGGTTTGGATTGGAAGGGACTTTAAAGATCATCCAGTTCCAACCCCCCTGCCATCAGCAGGGACACCTTCCACTAGACCAGGTTGCTCAAAGCCTCATCCAGCCTGGCCTTCAACACTTCCAGGGAGGGGGCATCCACAACTTCCTTGGGCAACCTGTTCCAGTGTCTGACCACCCTCACAGTGAAGAACTTCTTCCTAATATCTAATCTAAACCTCCCCTCTGCAAGTTTAAACCATTACCCCTTGTTCTGTCATTAAATGCCCTTATGAAAAGTCCTTCCCCAGCTTTCTTGTAGCCCCTTCAGGTATTGGAAGGCTGCTATAAGGTCTCCCCGGAGCCTTCTCTTCCCCAGGCTGAACAGCCCCAACTCTTTCAGCCTGTCCTCATAGGAGAGGTGCTCCAGCCCTCGGATCATACCCATTTCATTTTTTACCCTTTTCCATGTTGTTTACTGTTTGTTTCAACTCCTAGGGCTCCTTCTGTATGCTCACCACAAAGCTTAAGTAGCAAGAGAGAACGTGTCTGCAGGCAGGGGCAGAAAAACAGCCCTACTAGCTCTCACTTTAGTATTGCTGCAATATCAAGTATTGGCCTAAACTTTACAGAAATTCTAGTCTAATCCTCGCCTGTCACGTGTGGAGGTAGTAAGACAATGTGTAGTTCCCTCTGAAGCCGGCAAGCTGTCACAGCACTGCTGTGCTCATGAAGGCATGACCTACGTGCAGGTGGAGGTGTCTTCTCTGGGTTTTTTTTGAAGAGCAGTCCAGAAAAGCAAAGGAGGTTAAAAGAAGAGGCAGTGATACAGCACCAAAGAAACACCAGAACACAGTCCAAGCTGAAAGATTTTTGGTATAAACTCTGCCTAGCGAAGGGTGCGGAGCTCTGGGAAGGTTTACATGGCAAACTGCAGGCTGAGCAGAGGTCCCGGGGTGGCTGGGGAGGGGGCTTCCTCACTTGCACACTGCCAGGCCAACATGGCTATGTGCCTTCTGGACTGGGCTGGCTCCTCTCTAGGCAGGTCAGAGCTCAGCACTAAAGTGTGATTTTTTCTAGACCAATTGGTTTATACAGAAATAAGCAGTGTCTCCTTGTATTTTATTTGGGCTCTGTTTTACTTCTGTTGGGTTTAAAGGACAGAAGTTCTTACATTCCTTATTAACAGGTGAGATGGTCAAGGGAGCACCATTATCACCAGTATCTCCTCTTTACTGAAAGAACTCTTTAAGACCCTAACATTTTGGTTAAACCCTGGAGCTGCAGCAGATAAATTTTGGTACCTGCTACTGGGCATCTTTTTTGGCTAAGGATAATGCATTTATCCTTCCACGCACGGAGGCTGGGGGGTATGAAATCTGGTGTACGCTTCCCTCCATCCTCCTCCCTGTGCCTCAAATGCCTCCAAAGCCTCACAGGAGGTCAGCAGGAGTGAGGCTCCACAAAAAGCAGTCTCATTCCTCCTTGCAAGTGTTAAAGATACAGATGATGGTTAGTTCTTCCCCTAACTTGCTCCACAGCATAAAATAATATTCTACATATGTAAATCATATATCAAGCCCTGTACTTTACCCTCCTTTACCCTATAAAATCAAGGGATAATTTCCCAGAACTGTCTTGAGCATAAGCATCTGAAAGTTAGAATATATATTATTTATGTAAGCTAACATCAAAAAGAGCTACTTAACCTAAGGTTGATCCTTGATTGAGACAGAAGTGCACTGTTTTAGTCTACTAAGACAATTCTGAAAACCCCTGTACTTTCGAAACTTCTTACTTTGCCCAAAAGTTAGCTATGAAAATGTGCCCTATCTTGATGCTTAACAGAATGGACTTTAGGAGAAAAGTACTTACTATTAAAAAAAAATCATTTTCAGATCCTGCCAAAGTACTATTTGATTGAATTCTTATGTGCTTATTGATCTGGAAAACTAATGGGCAGGCTCCTTTTGACTTAGTATTGCTATGAAATTAATTTTAATTTGTAATTATGTTATCACAGACATCCTAGTAAGTTTTGATTGATGCTGAATATTAACAAAGTGAAGTCTCAGTCTGCACAGAAAAAAAACAAAAAAGCTTGAGGAGGTTTTATTAAAATATAAGTTCGCACTTGAAACCATGCCTTAAACTTGCTCTTACCTTGTTACTTGGGAAAACAAGATTCAGGAGCAAGTCCCTAAAACATGGTTTAGGAGAAGTTAGCTTGTCTGAATTCAGAAGACTGATTACCAAAACCTTCATGAAGTTTCAATTAAGTCCTAGAGCTACTGACACTCTTAAGAGGGTTTCAATTTAATTTAAAACTCATTTCATATGTCATGATTCTAACTCACTGGTGACCACTGAAAGTTAAAGGAAATATTGCCCTTTATGTTTTCATCCATTGAGATGAAGATATATTGGCCAGCATGTAGCACTTATGAATACATTAACTTTCTAGCCCTGATGAATTAAAAATAAAAAAACAAACAAAAAACCAGGGCGCCAGGAAGGCTGCACTTACTCAAGAAATTACCATGTTACACTCAAGAGATGCAGTCAATGAGCGGAGAATGGCCCCTCCAGCTGCTTCCATCCCACCAAATGCTTCAGGAAAAGCAAGGAAGTTGTTGAAACCTCCAGAGAAGGAGGCCTATAATGGTTTTCTTCTCCAAATAGCTTGTGTAGCTTTGCCTATTTGTCATTATGCTGAGAGAAAAAAACACTTCTCGGCAAATTTCAGGAAGCTATGTTCTGTTCCTCTTTCAAGGGTCTGAAGTTTAAATGAGTCAACAATGTGCTTTAGTTAAAACACATTATTTCTCAAGATATTCTGCAGTATTAAAAACACTTTCAAAAATGCCTGGTGTAGTCATCACAATAAAAACGGACTGTGCCACTCTTTAGCTTGTTCTTTACTGAGACACAGGAGGTCCTGAGTCAGAAGTTGTTGATTTTGTGCTAAATTTTCTTAAGAGACAAAAATAATTTTAAATTACCTTTTAGATCTGATCCTCAGTGACAGAACTGCATGTTAGTCAACAAGACATCGTTTTCCTCAACAGAGTTAAATGTTACAAAATGAGCATGTGTTTCTTGGAAGCTGAGGCTATTTTTATAATCCATCGACTGGACACACCCAGTACCTTTTGTTTGCAATAGGTATTGATGCAGTTAAATCCTTAATGGGTCACCGTAACCAAAACAACAACAGCCTCCAACAAGAACAGAGGCTTATGTCCCCGTCCAAAGAAAGACATATACAAAGTATATATAAAAAGAAACATTTAACTGGCTATTATTTTGTCAGATATAATCCTCCCAAAGACAAAAGGAGGATCTCTTAAGAGAAGCTGAAAGAGAAGTGAGAAAATTAAAGACAGTCAGGACTAGGACTATGAATGAAAACTCCATGATGGTGGCTTGAGAGAGCTATTAGGCACTGGTTAGGAAGAGGCTGGGAACTGTGAGCAAACCAGATGCTGTCACTCTTAACTACTGTGTGTCCATTTTCTGCAGGGACCACATCAGAGAAACATCTAACTCATCAGCAATCTCTCTTCTTTGAAGAAAAAACAACACTGAAGACTTTCAATTTTGGCCTTTGGGCAAAGGGTAGTAATAGTACAGTGTGTTGTCTGAAATCTCACTCATGTGCCTTGTACATTATCACCAAGAAGGTGGTAATGGCAAGGCACCAAGAATTATTTGCATGTACTTCTACATTCTTGCAGAAATTCAGTGGCCTTTTTCTTTGGTCCTTCCACTACAGTTGCCACTATAGTATCACTATAGAGAGTTGCCACTATCCCACTCAGGGTTTCCATGATAATGGAAGGAAAAGGATACTCAAGGTGCTCTCAGTGTTCTTGAAAAAAGGAACATAATTTAAGCATTTTCGGCCACTGAAACCAGTGATGAGCATTTTTGCAGTGTGATATTGAACTAGTGTGGGATTGGACTAGATGATCTTTCGAGGTCCCTTCCAATCCCCAACATTCTGTGATTCTGTGATAGGGCTACTTCATTCACTGCCCATGAGCTCACATTTGGAGGACACGCAAATCTCTGGCAACCAGGTCTTGCTGGACATACCGATTTATGAATGTGTGGCCATCTTGTAACAGAGCTGTCCCTAAACAGCTTCATCCAAAAACTTTCCATCCACTGCTGATACTGATCTGACATGTTTTCAAGGAGAATTTCACAGCATCCTTAAAATGTTCGCACTGGTCTATATGAGGACACAGAATCTGCCACTCTGTGTAATGGCGAGCTGGCACAAGACCATACCAGCAGTGATGATGCTCTAAGGAGGAGGCAATAAGGCAAAACCTGTGACAATCAGCCAAGCAATTAACTGCCTTAATTTTAACAGATATTTAAGGAAAAAAGTAAGGTGTTTTGACTAAAGAAATCAGTCCAGTTGCTGCGCTGCATTAGTATGTTTACTGCTCCAGGCCACAGGCCACACCTTTGCAGTCAGGATTTAAAAGAGAAATGGAGAGTCGTGTCTTATACCTGCTAAATTGCTGTGGCTGTTGAGACAGGTTTGTTTTGATTGAAAGGAGAAGAGCTGAGCTGAGGTTATATCAAAACAAAACAACTACCTGACTCAGTCTTCTGATGCAAAAATAATGAAAAGCAATTTGTTCTGTTGTCGGCCTCAAGAAATGATTACCTGCTGTGTGCATTTGATGATGTGATACATTGATTAAGACAATATTATTATTAACTCATTGATTTACTGCTTGAATTTCCATTGTGACCTTGATTTGATCACTGCTTGATTTATTATTAACCGATTCAAAAGCAACAGTGTGTTCACTAATAAAGTTTATTAGTGTGTTCATTTATTTGAGATGTTTGCTTGCTTACTCTTTCTCAGAACAACACTCCTAAAGCTTGAACTCGCATCAGTTTGCTTTTCCTGGTTAGGATAGAAATCTCCAAGAAACTGACCTACCTGAGAGCTGCATGGCTCTCTCAAATCAAAAGTTTAATCCTTCACGTGTACTTAAAACCTGATCAAACCTGTTTGTGAAAAGTTTCATCCTAAGGACATATTTATAGCTGAGTTATAAATCTTGTGACCATCCTGACAGGCCATTTCCTGGATCAATTGCAATATCCAAGGAAAAACCCCAGACATTATAGATATTTCAGCTTTATAAAAGGGCCCTGGTGTTATATAATCCTTACCATTCTGTGATGCTCTTGTGTGCTCTAATTACAGAGGTTTCAATGTCGATCGGATGGTATCTCATCCCTCGTAACTCCATGGCTTCATCTAATGCACCCACAACATAAAGTGCATCATGGCGTTCTGGTTGTAAGGAAAAAAGATATTAGCAGTTCTATTCTCCAGTACATTAAATTACAAAAATGTTCATATTAATTAATTAGTAAAATAAGTATAACATTTATAAGTTATCCTCAAATTTCTGAAACCCCAAAGTGACTTCTGAACTAATGAGAATTTTCCATTACTGAAGTGCAATGCAGAGCAGAAAGCAGAAGAAAGGAAGGCAGAATCACTATTCCCATCTGAAGAAGAGGAAGGTCGAAGTCTTTATCCAAAAACAGTGGCATAAATTTCTGTTTTTCTCCCAGGTGGATGCACAACAGACTCATTCTTTTTTAAGGTGCCCTAAATAGAAAATAGGCTCATTGTTTCTCTTTCTTTTGAGAGAGAAAGGATGGATTTCACCCTAACAGTACAGATGATGTTCTTCCAGTAGCTTTGAGATGGTCAGTACTGTTGCTTAAGGTGTATGACAAAGGTGTTTATCAATAAACTAGAAATATGTGCTATGTCCCAGATAGCAAATTGCTCATTCAGACAAATGGAAAGCTCTGGAGCGTAATGCTCTTACAATACAAATTTTTACTGACTAAAGAAATAAATGAGGCTGAAATGACACTTTTCAAAAGATATTAGGCTGATAATAAAGGACTGCATGTTATCCATAAAGAAATAATACCCGCTAATAGACTTAAAAACAGATAACTGGCTCTTTATACATTAATTTAGATAGTTGCATGGTGGTAATGTAACGGCAATATAACCTCTACCAGTAATAAAGGCCAGAGAACTTTCTGCACTGGGAGCTAAAAATGGGAGGAGAACAGAGACTTATCAACTCTTTGCCATGAGAAGATTTAAGCCATTTGGGTGCTTAAGTTGCAATCTCCTCAGAGGATCCTGAATTTGCTCAAGGCTGGGCTATCATTACAAAATTTAAAAAGCCTGCACAACTGAAAGGACGTATCTTCAGGAAGATGCTAACATAAGGACACGGGCAGCAGTCGTAATCCACAGTGATTACTAGAATGCTTTCAGATTTGATGAGTTCACTCTTTGGCTGAACAGCAGCTACTCTAATTGCACTGACACCAGGGCCCTGGGATCAGTCTGGAGATGCTCACAGTATTGCTACAAACTGTCCTTTGCCAATAGCCTTGACTGCCACCTCGGCCAGCTGCTGCTCGTGGCACTGTGCTCTGCAAAACACAGGAAAGTAACCTTTTCCTGAGCAGAGACTTGGTGAGCCTGGCAGTGCTGGTTTGCTTCCGTGGGTACATGAGATAAGGAAAGTCATAAAACCAAATAACAAAATCCTGTACCTCCCCGACAGAAACTCAAACACCCCGTCCCTTCTCCTGCAGGCTACTGCTTGTATTACATCTCAGCAACTGTCCCTGCACATTTGAAGACTGGGAAATTTAAGAAGTGGACAGCTTCTGTAAATAAGTTTATAACAGAGGAATTATGAAAGAAGGTGGTCACCACAGGAGGGACAGGGCTCAGATTCACAACAAGGCTTTTTCTATTCATTCCTGCGGATACAACTGCAAGAACAAGTGATGGCATTTTAAGTTGTACTGCATATTTTTCAAGCTGAAGCACTTGGCACATTAACAGTGCCAGAAAGTCAGTGGTGCAGGGGATTTATAGCACCTGAGGGACAGCAAAGAAAAAGCATGTTTCAGCAGG